CATTGTGCTCGCTGCAAACTCCATACACACGCTGTGCACTGTGCTCCCTGCAAACTTCACACACACGCTGTGCATTGTGCTCGCTGCAAACTCCATACACACGCTGTGCACTGTGCTCCCTGCAAACTTCACACACACGCTGTGCATTGTGCTCGCTGCAAACTCCATACACACGCTGTGCACTGTGCTCCCTGCAAACTCCACACACACGATGTGCACTGTGCTCGCTGTGCACTGACTTTATGTGGTTTAGCTGAGTGGGAGAGACCGTCGGAGCGAAAACAGCTGTCCAGTTCTTCTATATGTTATTTTTAAAAAATATTCAAAGCTTGCCATCAAACGGTTTCTCTTTATGAACATGTTGACATTTGTTAGCTATAGCTCATTTATAGCTATATAGCAGGGTAGATCTGCAGCACCCCACATGCACCAAAACCTGCCTCCCCAGGCAAGCGTGCAACACAGATGGTCTTGAAGCTACGCACTGCTTTTGTTTGTCTGCTGGTCTTAGACTGGAAGCTTCTTTTTTGCAGCTCCGACATGAAGAGTGCCTTGGAAATCTCTGTTTGTTTTTCTTGGTATGAGCTTGCCTTCCAAACGGCTTTTCCCACAAGATGTACTGCAGCCATTCGTTGTCATGTTTACTCACACTGCGCCCTCTTTTGGCCAAGTAAGGGACTGCTTTAACGGCTTTGGATATCTTAATTACATGTACAGTGGTGGAAACTACTGAGTGCGGTTGTCTGTAAATGTTTAGAACAAACTAGTTATCTTCAATAGACCTTTCTTTGCTTTTTCTATAAAATACAACATTTCCATGGATGTAATTTTGAATGCTATAAAACAATTTAGGATTGTAGGTAGTCCATAATTTTGCACCCTCACACAACATTATCGACCTTAATTCCATCCATGTGCTGAACTGCTTACGCGGATGTTGTGGCCCTAAACTAAAGTATTTTGCTAAAATATCATGCCATATATGGGACAAAATGATAACTTGTAATTAACTTTTAGATTAAAATTAACCAAAAGAATTAGATTTAGTATGAAGCTGTTTCAATGAACTTCTGTTTTAGGGTAATACTTTTTCTCCGACCAAGAGTGGGTGAACAGAGTGATGTATACATGTTTGAGTTTTCAATGGCTGAGTTATTAATAGGGCTATGATATATGTTTGCTTAACCTTAAGATTTCCTGGACTGGATATGTTGCTTCAATATTAGTCCATATTTCTATATTTTGTGAAACATTTTTGAAAGTGAATATGCACACGAGTCCATTCAGGGTCACTGGGGTTCTGGAGCCGTTCCCGGCGGCTATGGGTGCAAGGCACACGTGATTAGATGATTTTTCACTTGACACTCTTGTTCTTTATGGAAAAAATGTGTTGGCTCAGTCACCCCCGAGAACACAGTGTCCCTCAGCCGTGCCCCGAAACTCCCCCGCTGACCCTTTGACCTCAGAGTCACATCTGCCAGCTCTGCCTCTTAGGCTTTTAGCAGGAAGGAGCCTCTTAGGCTCTGTATTAAGCGCCAGCTAATGGCTGAGCTGTCATCAGCCATCTTGCCTCCCACTCAGGAGCCTGTGTCGGAGCGCTCGACGCTGGGTAATTACCCTGTTAAGTGCTGCCTGGTTTCTGGAGCCAGCCAGCCTACTCGCTGCTCTCCTACAGTCACTCCTTACTCACCTGTGAATTACTGCCTGATAGAACCCCTCCCCACTCTCGGGAAACAGAAGCTGGCGAAAACAAGTGCCTCTTAATTACATGCTTTCAGAGCGGTGGGGGTCAAGGAGAGGCCTCGGTGCTGGATAAGAAAGAGATGCTGTATGCGGGGAGGGTGGAGCCCGGGGTGAGCGGGGAGCGGCAAGCGGGCAGCGCTGCTTCACGCATCAGGAATGCTCCTTCCCAGGCGCCGCTGGTGACTGACTGGCCTGTGACCCACCAGGCTGATCTGTAACTCGCCGGGGCCACGGATGATAAATGCACCCAGCGACAGCCTGGAGAGAGCATGCTAGCCCTGTAAATAGTGCCTGGTAGGTTAGCAGTTACCTACGGGGCCGTAAACTCCAGCTGCAATAAAGGGGCCACACACAGTCAGGCTAATTTTTTGTTTTTTTTCCCTCTCTCTCCATTCAGAGGGCTTGGAAGTTATGGCAGGGAGGTTTCGGGTAAATAAACCTCCATCGTCTGCTTGCGCCATGCCGAATTCCTTACCCGTCGCTACAAACCGCAAGCCGAATTGCCTGTAGGCCTACAAGCTTAAACAGTAGGCCTCCCAAGCTCTGGGATCTTAAGTACAATTGTTTCGATTTCAAAACCCTCGTTTCTGGTATCATCTTCAGTTTTATCCTTAAACTCTTTGGACTTTTATGGAGTGTTTTTTTTTTTATTTGGTACACTGTGTCTCATACATTTGGGTGTCAGCACAGAGACAACTGTCTTTATGTTACAAGAGGTTATGACTGAAATGTGTGGAAAATGTATATTTTTAATGTATTTTTGATAACACTTTACTTTTTTTTAAGACTATGTTTTTAGCAACTTATAAACCAATTTAGAACAAATAATGATTCATTCTTAAAGCATTATACACATTGCTATAAATATTTATGAAAAGGTGTAACATAACCATGTGTATTATGCATTATGAAGCTCTCATCTATAATGCTATAACTATAGATATCTTTATAATGCATCATGGTCGGTATAAGCATTAAGGATGCTTTGTACTGCGTTATAAAAGTATCTATAGTGCAGTATAAATGAGAGCTTCATATGGCAGTCATAATGCATAATAAACATAGCTATAATGTGTTATGCCTTTTTATGAATATTTATAGCCATGTTTATAATGTTTTATGAATGCATTATAATGCATTATGAATGTGTTTATGAGTTACTAAAAACATGGCCTTAAGTGTTACCGTATTTTTTTCTGGATTTCTTTTTTTCCTTCTTTCTTCTTTCCAGCAGATCTTGTACAGGGTCACAGAGGGGTCTGAAGATGTTAAGAATACATTTCTTACAAAATACTTCTTGGTTAAATCACAATTTTATAAATATTTTGCAAATATATTGAAAATTTGGGTGCATAATGGCTTAATGGCTAGCAGGGTCTCCATCACAGCAGTGGGTTTGGTTCCTGGGCTCTTGAGAGTGTGATTGAGTGCGAGTGTCTGTGCCCTGCGATGGACTAGCCCTCCATCTGGGATTGTCAAAGGCTTGGGCCTTGTGCTTCCTGGGATAAGCACACCAAGATCATGCTCTGGATACAGGAATGCAGGATGGTAATGCGATACAGATAGAGCTGCTTCTGACCTGTGAGCTAATGAGCCATCGCTTGCATTTTTCCACAGAACTGAGGAATATAAGTCCATCCACCATCTCTGCACAGCGCCAGTGTTTGACGTCCTTCCATTGAGGCTGCAGCTGGCCTCTAGAGCCTGTCACACTCTGTGCCAATTGCCTGTGGAACCCCAGGTCACCCAGGAGAGGGCAGCACTGAGCCAGATCCCTAATCAGCCTCAGCACAGGTAAGCTGAACTGGACATTTAAAAAATCGCTGAGATATTACTTCATTCCGTAATTTCTTTTGGTTAGAGAAACCTCCAGTTATGAACGTGATTTTTCTGGAGTTGTTCTACATCAGTAATGTATGGTGTTTTTATCAAGTTAAATTTAACTTATTTTATATAGCGTTATTCTCACCACATTTGCCCCATATACACTATATGGACAAAAGCTTTGGGATACATGTCTTAATCATTGAATTCAGGTATTTCATTCAGAGCCATAGTCAGAGGTGTATAAAAACTGCCTGTTTGCATCAAAAACATACATTGGCTGCTCTTAAAACGTATTAGAAGCCATGGTAGTTTTAGGGGAACAAAACCTTTGGCAGGCCAAAGGTCAGCTGGGTGGGCACATATAGTCTAGGTTTCCACAGACACTCGAAACCCATAAACTGTCCATAAATGTTTCCGTGAAGCCTCAGTGACCATATCCCTGTGGCTTCTCTGATAATCTGGCTTTTTAGCTGAGGGGGCCAGTGGTTAATTTAACCTTGCCTCTCCAAAGCAGTGGTGCTTTGTGGGGGGTGGGGGGCATAAGGAGGAGGGCATCCCCCCTAGTGCCAGGAGCTGAGAGGCCTCTCGCCTGCTCCCGCTGCCTCGCTCCTTCTTGTCTGTCTGCTGTGTCTGGGGCTGTTAATCACAGCCTCCATCAGCCCAGTCCAAGTCATTTAATAAACGCATTTACAACTAAAATGAAATGTGGCTGCATAATAAAGTATATTGGCCATTTACTTTACAAATGAATAAAAGTGCAAAAAGCTTAAACATATTTAAACAGAAAAAAATGCTATGATCTCATTGGCCGACTCAATTACTCAGTAGACAAATTCCTGTGTTCTTTGCATCACTTGACTTGCAATAATGCATTTTTAGTCTTAATTAAGGATTATTTACTGCTGCCATACTTCCTGCCCATGCTTTAGATTAAAATATGCAGGTAACTGATTCAGAGCTGCTTGCTCTATGTCAGTGTTTCCCAACCCAGTCCTCAGGGACCCACAGACGGTCCATGTTTTTGCTCCCTCCCAGCTCCCTGCTGAGGACCAGATTGGGAAACACTTCTTTAAATAAAAGTTGAGGAGTACGTGCTCTTGTCAGTTGCCGTGGTTGATGGCACCCTTCCCTCATGCTTCCATACCAGCGTCACCTCAGCCACCCCCCCCTGTGAAACATCAGCAATTGCTGTCACCCTCACAATTGCACCGCTCTGTCTTTCTCTCATCTCTTGTTCTGCCCATGGTAGACAAAACTACAGCCATAGAAAGTTAATTGCTTAATTAACTTTTCTGTCTCAGTTATTCATTCCCTTTTTTTTTGGTGGTTACCTTTGCACACAAAAACCCTTTAAGTACAAGACATGCTGGTAAACCTTGGCTGATGTACAAAGCAAAGATGTCAAACTGAATCCTGGAAAGTGACTCATCATCAGTACATGGTGTATTCTTCTGTTATCTGAATTACCTGTTATCTCCTTCTCCGCTATCATTTCCTGTTAGCTTCCTTGTTTGTTTAGTTGTTTTTCTTGCCCTGTCCATGAATCTCGCTCTTTGTCTCTGCTTATGCAATGTTAGCTCTTCCCCGCCCCACTGCAACCTGCTCCTTGCTGCCTCTGTTGCCTCTGTTGCAACAGAATGTTGTCACATTCTGTTATGCATTTTCACATTTTAAAAGAGGTCTGACAGCACAGCTCAATCAGAGGATTTTCACCAGAAGCATTTCTATTGGCTGTCCAGTAAAACATCTCGTTTCAGGATTGTGCCACCGGGTCTTCCTGCTGCTCGACTCCATGGAGACGGTGTCCCTCGGCCCTCGGCCCTGGCTGCCTGGCAGAGGGTCACTGAGCTCTGTACGGGGAGGTCCAGGGTGACGTTAGATGGCCCACTTGTAAGGATTTGCTGCTCCATAACACAACTTATTTTGTAAACATACATTTTATTCACATATTGATTATAGTTTGATTGATTATAGTCTAATTATAATCTACTGTCTAAGGTTCTTTAGTAAGTTCAGAAGGATCATGAGGCACTTAACATGAAGTTGACTGAAAACTATAACTATTTCAGACAATATATTGCTGAGACCAATCTATATGGGTTCCTAAAAAGTCCATTACATTGTTTTAGAGGACCCAAACACTAACTGTCCAATTAATTTATTGACTAAAGCATTTATGATCTAAGCTAACTGAGAAGCAGCATTCAATTCCTCTTACATGATTTGTGGCTGTGGTTTAACTAGGACAGACACTATTTGTTTTGTCTTTCGGTTGGTGTTTTATTATAATAGCCAGAAGGTGGCAGCAGACACACACACAGCGTTATGGACAGTAGTCAGTTCATTAAGAACACCTGCATGTTAAAAACAGGCTGCTCCTCCAGTGAATTTTATGGTCATTTAAAAACAAAATGTATAATCTTCTTAACCCTTAATTTTTTAGCCACTATCTGCCACTGGTGTCATGGTTGGTACCATGCATGCTGCTTCCGGCACTGAGAAAGGCCGTCCCAGGAGTTTCATGCACTATGTTATCCAAAGTTTGTAGAGAATGGTGCAACAAATAAAAACATCCAGTCAGTGGCCATTCTGGTGGCAAAAACTCAGATATCAGAAAAGAATGGCCAGACTTGTTAAAACTAATGGGAAAGCCACAAGTAGAAAAGTAACAGCTCAGTAGAACGGTGGTGTGCAGAAAGCTTCTTGGAACACACAGCTTGTCTGTGCTTGAAGCTTTATTTGTAATAGCTTTATTGTCATTGCACAATGTACAACGGAATTTGCAGTGCATCGTGAATAATAAATATTTAATTCTTAAATGAAAAATTACTAAAATAAATACCTAAAAAAATACTCTCACTTCCACACATACACCCACTCACTCGCACACATAACCTTAAAGAGTCACAGTTTTAGAGAAACAGGTTAGATTTGTGTCCTGCTCTGTGCTCACTACAGCCTCTCACAGATTAAGATGATGTTCTGTTAAGCCTATCGTAAGGCGAAAATAAATTTTAATACAGATTACCTAACCCAATTAGCATACAAACAGACAATCATACCCTAGTCTAGCCTACCTTAAACATGCTTAGAACACTTACATTAGTTGGGCAAAATGAACACAAAGCCTATTTTATAATAAAGTGTTGAATATCTCATGTGATTTATTGAATAATGTATTGAAAGTGGGGTGGCATGGTGGTGCAGTGGTTAGCACTGTTACTTCACACCTCTAGGACCTGGTTTTGAGTCTCTGCGTGGGTCACATGTGTGTGGAGTTTGCATGTTCTCCGCATGTCGTCGTGGGGTTTCCTCGGGGTACTCCAGTTTCCCCCCACAGTCCAAAAACATGCTGAGGCTAATTGGCGTTGCTAAATTGCCCTTAGGTGTGCATGTGTGAGTGAATGGTGTGCAAGTGTGCCCTGCGATGGGCTGGCCCCTCATCCAGGGTTCTTCCCTGCCTTGTGCCCGTTGCTTCTGGGATAGGCTCCAGACCCCCTGCAACCCAGTAGGGTAAGCAGGTTGGATGATGGATGTACTGAAAGTGAAAAACATTTACCCATCTTAAAGTCAAAATATCATGACACAGACCATTGTAACCCAGGGAGCATCTGTGTTATGATAAATATTGTTATGAATAACTAATAAAGTGGCCACTGACTGTATACAGTATATAGAATTACAAATGGAACATTGTGAAGGTTTTCAGTAGTCTAATGTGATCATAGCTTCATTCACATTAATTAATATTAATTTATGCATGATGATCTTTTAGAATGAGCTATGTTTGTCCCATTTATATAAGAGCTATATGATATATTCTTTGTATCACTTTATCTGGTATTATTTGTGCCATAGATATGATAAACTGCCTTGATCCCAGTGGCAAATCATAAAAAAAGACAAAACTCATTCAAGGGATTGCAGGCACTGCTGGGATTTGAACCCAGGATCTCCTGTTTACAAGACAGGGGCTTTGACCCACTAAGCCACAGTGCCTAACTGTGAAGGGGTTCTGTAAATCATCTATGAATAATTGTAAACTACTGTTTAAGAGCTAGTAGGACATATGCTGCCTTATACCCACACACCCCTCTTGCAGAGCCCACTTTGTGCCAGCAAACTGAAGATGTTCTGGAATCCAGCACCTCCTAAGTTCTCCTGCACTCCATCTGTCATGAAGGATCAACTATTTCCCAAGTACCAGGTGCACTGTCATATGTGAAGGGTATCGAACTGGCTTAAATTGAGTGTGACTGTTTGAAGTGCGTTCCTGATTTGCAGCAACCTTGTTCCTGACAAGGTGACCAAGTATTGTAGCTTTAGAAGTATTCTGCTTCTGCACATGACAATTTAAAAACATAAAGAAATTATACAGTTTCCAATCAATTTGCAATGTTTTTGCTAATTTTTTTCAGGGCAATCAAGTAACAAACTGCTATGATAATGAACATGCAATGTTATGTGTGGGTGCTTTGGTTAAAATTTTGTTCTGCGGGCAAGTTGATAATAACTCAGTCATTGTCCATTGTACCACTGTCCAGCCCTCTTGGAATGATCTGTCCATGGAGGACATCTCTGAGGTAGGTCAGGACCTGAAGAAGCTGTCACGTGATTCCATGGACAGGGAACCTGCCGAGGTCAGGGGACACAAGCTTTACGTAAGACAGGCCACTGGAAAACAATATTCTAAATGACTGAGCAGCTGGTCATATGCTAGTTAAGCACATGAACCTGTAGTACCATGTAGTTGTACCCTTCAGATAGGTACTTAACCCTGAATTGTCATATTAGTATATTTATATGTATGAATGTTTGGATAATAAATGTAGTGAAGGCAACAGAATATAAAATGGAAAGAATGTAATGGATTTAATACAGGATCAATATAATAGATATAATAGTAAAAATGTAATCACACGGTGATTTAGTGATTGTAAAGAAATCAAGGAGAAAAGGCCCTAACTATTTGAACCAAGCTTGAAAGTACTCCATACATATTTCTACAACAGCTTCTACAATGTAAGTGGCATGGTGAGACATATGACATGATGAACTTAAATACTGGCTAGTATTTTGCAGACATCACACCTGTCCTGGAAGCTCCGGGAGTCTGACAAACTGACAGCAGCTCCCTAACAATCGCAAATGATGTGAAATGTTCCAGAAATCTGTTGTTCTGCTTTTCATCACCAGTGAAATTAGCCAGTGAAGTTTTACCACCACAAACCTGCTCCAACCAGTCGGCGAATTTTACTGGCAGCTGTCCCCATTTAAGCACTAGGCATGGGTGGTATCCGTGTTTTAATACCGTTATACCATCATCCAGACAGAATTTGCTGGTCGGGGGGGCAGGATAGATATGGATATTTTGAAAAATTCTGTGGTATACCCAAAATACCACGGATACCTGTACGATATTACTGTAACATCTTCTTTAAAGACTTTCCTTAGCTCTGCAATTGCTAAATCGATACATTAACCTGCAAAACACAAGCACCGTGCTTCCTTCAGGAAAAATGCCGACTCCCCCTTCAGGTGAGGAGGACTTGTAGGAAATTCCGGTCCATGACAGACGTGAGCGCCGAGTTGCTAGTGGAGCCTGCAGCTGGCCAAGAGCAGGTGCGTCTGTGTTTCTAAAGGATGTGTGTCTAAGCTGGAAACACAAACATTGGTTTTAGGTTATATAAAAATCACCACAAATAGAAATAATATAACTGTACAATACAAATAAATAAAATACTGTTGAATTATGACATTCTTATGCTTCATATTATTTCCAGTTTGTATGGCACATTTGTATAAAGAAAATCTACATAGTTTTGCTTGAGTGAAAATGTACGGTGCCTGCTTCCTGTTCCTGTATTAAACTAACCAGATTAAAGTAAAAACCTTCTGTACTCTGCCTTTGTTTCTGACTGCTGCATGTCATTAGGCAGTGAAGCGCTCCCTCTCTGCCCCGCACCTGAGTTCCGGGCTCGTAGGCGCAGTCGAGGTCCTTAAGGCCGCCTCTGACCGGCAGCACCCAGCCATGGTCTCTGTGACCCAGACCCTGGTGCAAGCCAGGAGAGAGCCAGTGAACGTGTCCCTCCAAGGGGCGAGACAGGGCCACGTCTGCCCGAAGAGAGGAGTCAGTCTGAGGAAGAGAACCATCACAGCTCGTTCCAGGAGGCGTCTATCTAAAGGAGGGGAGAAAGTGGCCCCCATCCATGAGAATACGGGGGAGGACAGATGTGCCCTTCCCAGGTGAATCAAGATGCTTTCAGCATAGTGACTGCAGCAGATACCATATACATGTCGTCCTGCAATTACTGCGATGTAAAGGAGCAAAACACCTGTTGTCTAAATGTTTGTACAAAAGCTGCACTTGGTTTCTTACATATTTATTAACCCCTTACTCATATCTTATAGTTATCATGTATGCTTCCCAAAATATATTTATTGTTGTGTGTAAAAAATGAACAGCACCTATACATGTTCTTGTGTTCTTATGCACATATATTTTTCAAGTTAATATTGCACGGTCTCTGCTCTGTCCCCAAAGGAGCCGGTCCCTGGACCATGTGACCAGCGGTCCCGCTGACGCCTCATTGGCTGACCGTGTGTCTCTACGGCCCTGGTCCAGCCTGCCCCTGCTTCTGGGCTTGGAGCAGTACACTGCCCAGTGGGGTGGGGTCCCCGTGGACCTGGCACTGCGAGAAAGGGTACAGAATGTCCGGGTCACAGGGTCTGACGAACTCGTCCCTCCAGACAGCAGCGGTGATGGACAGAAGGAGTTGCACAGCCCCGCCTCTCAGTGCACCCCTGAAGCCCTTCACAGACTGCGTGAGAGAGAGCTGTTTCTGCATGAGATCTGGGCCCTAGGCAAGGCTGAACTCTCATTGACTTCTGACACAGGGGTCACTGATTCTGACCTGGATCATGAGGTGGCCTGGTTGACCCAGTCTATGGCCAAACAGCAGAGGGCCAACGCTTTCAATCTCTGCCGCAGAGGAGCTCTGTATAAGAAACGGGGTCATCTGGACCTGGCAATGGAGGACCTCAACCAGGTAGGTTCAGCCCGCAGGGGCTGGAAACCAAAAACAGCCACAAATGGTTTCCAGTTTCCCCAAGTCTTCTGTCACCAGTGATTATCTCAGCAAGTGCATTTGGCTCCACCTCAACTTCACTATTGCAGGATGGCAGACAGCATAGCGTTTTGGACATGGACACCTGACCTGAATATTGCTTGCTCAAATCCCATGGTGCCCTGCTACAGTACCCTTGAGCAGAGCACTTGACCTGAATGTAAAATGAGTCAGATAAGCTGCTGAAATACCCTTGAATATAAACTGTTCTCTGGAGATAAAGTAGAAAATGCTTATTTCTTTCTGAGGCTGATAAACTCTGCTATTGTAGGTATCTGTCCGGCAGTATGTAATGGTGGCACATGCTACAGTGTTATCAGAATCGGGATCATTTATTTGTCATTAAGTACTTTTTACATATAAGGAATTTGCTTTGAGGTGTTATGCAAAAACAGCAAGTACATCCAACACTATGACAATCTGCATAATAAATTGTATAAATAAAATATAACAATGTGCTTGGTCCACATGATGCGCATAGTGCAATGCAATGTAGCAGCAGGCTGGTTAGAGATACAGGGACAGGGGATCTACAGAATCAGTAGTCGTTGGTGAGGCCTATACTGCCATGAGGCCTATACTGCCATGAGGCCTATACTGCCATGAGGCCTATACTGCCATGAGGCCTATACTGCCATGAGGCCTACTGCCATGAGGCCTACTGCAATAGGGAAAAAACTGTTCGTTAGCTGAGTGGTTTAGGTCCTTTTAGACCTCAAACTTCTTGCTGGAAGGAAGTGTTTGGAAAAGTTCATACCCAGGGTGAGAAGTGTCAGCCGTAATCTTTGTGGCTCCCTTCATGGTTCTGGAGGTGTGCAGGTCTTGAAGCAATGGCAGACTGCAGCCAATCACCGTCTTGGCACTGTGAGCTATATGCGGGGCTGCCACCATGCTGTTGATATGGGCTGGTGGGTTTCAAGTGGCAGGATAAAGAATGTGGTGCTGCAATGGACAGGTCTTTGTGCAGGAAAGTGTTTCTTATAACAGAGTGCAGGTTACAATGCATTTCTTAGGGATTGAAATATTTGATGCCCTGTTTTCATGACAATGACTTTTATTTGCTTTTATAGTTAATACAGTACCAAGCAGAACGCCACTGTAATTTTAGAATGTGCTCTGATTCCATGCCCTGCCGCATAACTGGCCATTAGTTGTGTGGCTGCAAAAGAAAACCAGTTAACATGATTAATTACGCTTGGAATCTTATTTAAATGACGTTTATAACTTGTCATGGCAGGGCATTATGTAGGTGGGAAGATCCACGTAGTGAGTTAGAACAAAAGGGGTTTTATTAACAGTAGACAAACGGACAACCAGAAAAACAGGACCACAAGGGGTCAAAACAAAACAGGTAAACAAGAACTAACTAAACTAATCACAAAGAAAACAAAAATTGAAACTACAACGAAGACATGTAGCAGGTGTGGGTGGGACACCGGCGCCATAGTCATTAGCGGAATCATTGTGCGCCACGTTATGGATTTGCATTTTTTCGGGAATACCGAATGTCAACAGCCTATTCATAAAAATAAAGCATTTTTTCTTCTTCAGAACTTCGGTTAGTTTGAATGCTTGTCATTATACAGTATAGTTAACCGATTTATCTGCGCTGTGTGAATTTTCTGTTAAACACTCTGACACTGTGTCATGATAGCAAATTAACAAATTCAAAATAAACTAATTTTGTGTAATTATACTCATTAAACAAAAATAACCAGGATACATGCATACTAAAGTTAAACATTGTTGCTAAATCAGCACATATATGCGCCACTGTCTTCATGCAAGGTGTGTGGTGAAAGGTCTTGCATTGGCTAATAGTCGTAATGCAGTGATTTGAGGTGGTAATCAGCTGTTGATTGGTGCCCCAAAGGACAAATCTGCATATTCTTAACCTTTTCAGAGACTCCATACAGAATCTGTCCATTGTAATTAATTCTAAACTTCAAGGGAAAAACTCTAAGATCTGTAATTTCATTTATTTTATAAGCATATTGGTCTTTTGGTTCCAGACTATTCGGGCATTTTATTTTGGTAAATACTCTGTTATACAAAAAAAAAGAACTGCACCAGTCATGCTAAATCAGTCTGTTTCATTTAAAGGCCATATCCCTGGAATCCCTCTTGTTGGATGCTTACTGGCATAGACACAGTATCCATTTGCTGAAGAGGAACCTGACCCAGGCTTTGGCTGACTTGAACTTCATCATAAAGCACAACAACAAACACGCTGGTAACACTGTAGTGCAGTGCAAAAAGGAGATGATCTTACACTGGGGATCCCAACTGCGATACTCAGGGGGGGGGAGATGGTTCATTTTTAAAAATACAAATATAAGCAAAATATTTTAAATTTTTTACGACTTCTAATGTTCACGAATTCTGTTTGCATAAAAAAATGGAAACAGTTTAACTTATGAAATCTCTTCTCAATCTGCTCATACCCCCCCACCCCCAGATCAGTTTATCAGTCTGTGATTTTTTTTTTTCCACGGACATCAAACAGTTGGGAGCCCCTAGCTTAGACTATTAAAGTAGCTATTTTTTTTTGTTTCTGAGACTTTTTGTTTCACGTGAAGTACCTCTGGCACTGTTCTTTCTGTGAAAATCAAATCTTTACACCAGCTGTCAAAAATGGATTCGCTAGCACTGATTTATTTTCAGCTGCCACTTGCATCAAACTGTATATTTTGGAATCATTCATACCACCAGACACTTTAAATTTAATATAAGGCATTTGTTACTCATGTTTTGAAGATGCCTTTAGGTCCCGAGCTGAAATTTACAGGATGAAAGGTGACACAGCAATGGCGATAGCAAACTACAGCCAAGCCATCAAATTCAAGCCACAAGATGATGATTTGTACTTCAGGAGAGCTGAATTGTATGAGAAGAGCAGTGAGACCCTTCTGGCTATGGAGGACTATGCAAAAGTAAGCTGCCCTCTGCACACTGAAATGCATTTGTCCTGTTCTGCCTTTGAAGTTTTTTTTTGAGCAGTGCAAGTATAGCCAGTGCTCTGAAGAACATTTTTGCTATTTTTAAGTTGGAGGTCTAGCTACATTACTGTGCTTCCTTACCTCAAGAACCTCTTCCAGTATAATCAGGTATACACTGTATATGAGATAGTAAAATAATAAGTAATAGTGTTTTGTCATAAAGTTAGTGAAATTGTAAGGTCCATGTGCGCATATCTGACACTGATTGACTTAATATAAAACAGATTAAAATAGCGCATGCGCATATCTGACACTGATTGACTTAATATAAAACAGATTAAAATCTTTAACAAACGGCACTTTAGCTGAAGGGCAGAGCTGATTTGACTACTACATAGTAGGGGTGTGTATCTGCCCCTCTCAAGTGATACCATACACATGTAGCTGCTAGGGCAGGCTGATAAATCAGTTGGCCAATAAATTGGGCTAATATTAAGGTTTCACAAATACTGAAAAAAAAACAAAGGGTAAAGACAGTATTTCGATCCTGTCAAAGATAAATGCAACAGTATCCAAAGTAAAGAGCTGCTTTGTTACTTAAGTTATATAAATGAGCTGAAGTAGCCAGTTCACACCACATAGAAAAGTACATTTAGAGGCTTATTCTGATGTGACAACAACTTGGGTGATAAAGACGTTAATATCAGTCTCCTAGTCTGTCAAAGTGCCCAATCAGATTTTTACACAGCCGCTTGTGAACAATTTGTACGTTGATGGTTAATGTCATCAAAATATACAACACTATCACAGTGCATAAGACTATTCTGTGCTTAGTTACTGTATTTCTGTAGTTAGACATTTTTCAGTCTAACCAACCTAAATGATATTACTTCAACTTATCAACAATTTTATACAGGTGTATTTCCCTTAAATTAACCCACTTTAGTTAAAAATGGAATTAATTTTTTCCAAGCCCATGAATTAATATCATTTACAGATGAGCATATGATGAATGTAAATGTTCTTCATTTTAGCCCTTTATATGCAACAAAATAATGACTCCTGGCTTTTATTGCGCTCTTGTGACACGGATGCGCTGATTAATTTGCACACTTTGGCTTTTAGACGTTTGCCATTAACCCAAGGAGGAGCGATGCCCTGCTTATCCGGGGCCTGCAACATTTCCACGCCTCCAGCTGGGAAGTGGCCTTCACTGACTTTAGCCTTCTGCTGCAGCTGGAGCCCAGGAGTGCGAGGGCCAGGTCATGCCACACGCCACACGCCACACGCCAGCCAAATGCCACGCTAGCACCACATATCAAAATGTTAAATCTGAAATTATAAAGCGATATGAAGAGGGCACCATACAACACAACCCTGATATTCTAGGATCAGGGGCCTGTACTACGAAGCGGGGTTACTGGCTTATCGGGGTAACTTGTCGGATTTAAGGTAGTCTGGGCAAAATGTAAGTGAACAAATATGAAGTCCATTTAAACTGTGGTACTTTTAATCCGACAAGTTACCCCGATAAGCCATTAACCCCGCTTCGTAGTACAGACCCCAGATGTATAAATGTTTCCTCATTTTATTTATCTGTTAAATTAGATTTATATCTATAACATGGTTTTTACTCAATTCTGACACCAGAGGGCAGTAGTTCATGCATGCTTTCCTTATCTCTAGATTTGCAATCTTATGTACAATTCGTGTTTTTTTTTTTTAACGTTCCTTAAATGTATTCCTAATGGCAATTAAATATACAGAGCATGTTATGTATAAATGTGCAGTACCTATTTGTCCAGCATTACATTGTCCAAGTTACAATGACCTTTGGGAATTGTATGTAAGAATTTAAGGTTTTTAATTATGACCACAGTCAGCTTTATTTGTTATGTTCAGACATTCTTACTAATGGTTACTAGCCAAAAATAAGCAAATTCCCCCTCCCCCCACACACTCAGGCAGTACCGAGGGAGGATTTATGCAAAGCTGGGCATGTTTCAGGAAGCTGTAGCGGACCTTAGTCTCGCAGTCCAGCTGGACCCCAATAACTGGTCCTCTTACTACTTGCGTGGGTGCCTGCTGAGGAAAAAGCAGCCCGAGGCGGCCCTGAGGGACCTCAGCGTGTCCGGTACGGCATGTTTACCATTCACCCGTTTCTCTTTGAACTTTTTGCATGTCATCCTGTTCTTTTCTTCCGCTCTCATGCCTCTGGGGTTTTGTGCTTCTGTTCAGCTTCAAAACTAACCAAGAATTCAAAGTCATACCTGAAATATATGTAAAAAATTACTTCTATTGAGCAAAAATTTTTTCTTCCCCCAAATTCTGATTTTAATAGTATAAAATACATAAAAATTTAATGTGGATTGGACTGGGATTAGCGACATTTTGCAAAGGGAGGGTGGCCAGTCCAGTACTATGCAGCATTATGAATGATATGATACTTCTGAAGGAGAATAATTAAAATCTGTGTAGTTTAATAAGTTTGTGTGCGTGCAAACTTCATACCGCATTATAATTTCATTGATCGCGTTACTGCATTCGGTATTTTGTTATTGAAGCTTGACATACGACTGATTATTTTTAAGACATAAGAAGCTTAAAATTTAAACATCAAAAATGAGAAAATGAGCGTCGTGGAGTAAGCTATGAATCCTGACGGGCGTGCAGATTTCCATTCGGATCCCTTTATCTCATGTTTACTAACATTAAAGTTGCTTCCCCAGACAAGCGAAGAATCACATTGTAGTCTTTCTGTGATCGATGCCAGGAGCGTCTCACTGAAATTGGCTTGTCTTCCAGTGCTCATCAACAACAGCACTGAAAACTTGAGAGCCTTCCTCCACCGTGGTTTGCTTTATGTCGGGCTGAAGCAATGGAAACCGGCTGCGTCTGATTTTAAGTCCGTCATAAAGCTAGACAGGTACGTACGTCTCACTCTCCTATTGTGGTGTCATTCCTCGGTATTCAACCAATAAATCAAGTTTCATTTTATATAGTGTGTCTTTTTGTGAGTTTGTTTAGAAGCTTTTTACAGTGATTTACTGTTATTCCAGAAACAGAAAAGCCCTATAACACCAGTAATGCAAGAAACATTTTTTTCAATTAAGTGACTGAGGACTAGTCCTTGAGATTATTATCTATAGTAGAGTGGAAGGCAGAAGAGAGAGGGCCTAGATGTGGCCTATGTGTGGTGTTTGATAGATAGTTACAGCCAGTGCTTCATCTGTAAACTTGAAGTGCCAGAGCTCATAAAGAGCGCAGAGACCAGCTGTGGCCACCATTGTATGATGAGCTGCAGCAGGCTGACTTTGAAGACACAAATCAGCTCTTTAACAATGACAATGTGCTATTAATTACTTAAACATGTAACAGACACCTGTTACATCAAACTGTAAGACAGACTTATCAGATGAATGTAATTGTACAGAAGGTAACCTCATATATTTTAGTGGCCAAAATGTGGATTTTCTGAGCAAGTGTGGTGCAGTTTTCCACATAAACAAAAACAGACTAATTTAGGCAGATGTGTGTCAAAAAATCATAAACCCAAACAATTGTATAAGTATAAATTAATTTAGTTCAATTTGTAATTATTCTAAAGTTTAACTCAAATAATTATTTTTTATATTTTATTTTTGAAAATGATCATTTTCACAACATAGACCAAACAGGAAAGAGAAAGAAAGACCCTCCCCACCAAAAAACACTATACACATGTTATCACAGTAACAATGCACATGTGTCAGCGTAAACATGAGGACACTAAGAGTCAAAAAGAGTCATGGACCTGAATTAAGTACAAGAAGGGTCTGGAGGAGGGAAATCCAGAGATAATCGGAACAGAAATGAATATACATATATACATACGTGTGTGTGTGCGAGCGGATATACTTTACCTTATGGGGACACAATGTCCCCACAATGTGATGAATACCCATTTTTTTCCCTTATGAGGATCAGTTTCCTGAGGTTGTCATAGTTAGCGTTAGCATTTTTCCCATAGAAATGAATGAGCGGTCCCCATAAAGATATGTTTACCCGACATGTGCGTGCGTGTGTGTGTGTGGATTAGGTTTATATTGGAGTTTTCCTGGTAGAAATGAATGACGAATCCCCGCAAAGATTTAATTTCAAAACCTGTGTGTGTGTGTGTGTGTGTGCATACATATACAGTACATACATACTGTACACAGATACACCTATATATGCACACATACACACATAATGCAATATTTAATCTGACAGAGAAAACACCATTAGCTCCTTGATTGACACTTTTCCCTGTTAACATACGCAAAGAAAACTTGGAGTGAGTATCTGATAAAGTCTAACAGATTTCTTCCAGATATAAACAGGAAATCATATTATTTAGGCAGTTTTTGAAATGGGGGGGCAGATTTCCATTCCCCCAGCATAAATCTTTTTGCTACAACCATACCAAGTATGAGGGCTTGTTGTAGTACTAGAAGAAAAGTCAAACTCTGACTGAATAATGTTTGATATGTCCATGATGAATTTCATGAAGAATGAAATCCACATTTTTCCTGACTGATTAGAGCCTTGAATAAATCACAGTAATATAAATTAATTACATTTTTGGCAAAATATCTTCTATGGCATACTCCTCTTTGATCATGGAGTACATTACTTTCTTTTTAATGATACAACATGCTTAATTTTGAAATCTTGATCATCTAGGTCAACTCCCTGTGTATGTTGGTCCAGCTGAGTTTTTAATTAATTAAGCTTGATAGTGCTGTTAATTGAATGAATTGCTTTATTAAAGTTACATTAATGAGAATAGATTAGCTGAAAATACACTTTAATTTTTAATTTGCATGCAAGACATTCTTAGAAACAACTACCATGGTGATTAATTGCTAGAATATATATCGTTTTTATTTCAGCAAATACATTAAACTCGTTCATAGCCCGTGAACAATCTATAAAAAGCCTGATAAATATAGTCATGGTATTTAGTTTATTTTATAAATGATCCAATAATAATTATTAGTATATTTTATTTTGGTATACTGCGATTATAAATTGTAGCCTTCAAGTTCTGGTCAGATGATTGAAATTAGACTTTAATATCTCTGTCACACCTGATTAAAAATGCAGAAGGACTGCGAGGACCATGCCTGACAAATATTAATTGACCCTGTGTTTATGACAGGGGTTTATACGGGGCGGAGCCGCAGGGCACTGGCCCTAGATGAAAGATGATTGGCCCCTGGAATGCCCCCTTGCCTGTCACTCACCAATTTAAAACATATCATTGGCCTTCGGTAAGAATTATGGCCCTTCTTATGTCCCCTACCTTAAAAATATCCTAGAATGGGCCCTGTGGCCTGTACTACAAAGGGGGTTTAACCAAATCAGACTTAACCCCGAGGAAATTTGCGAATGCAAGGTTGACAAAATCATGTTGACTCCATCGGGGCTAATCAGTACTACAACGCCAGTTAAGAAGTTGATTTGTTAAATCGGTGTTAACTGCATTGGAGTTTGTGTGCATTCACATATATGGAGCACGTTCGGCAACGCAAGGCACCGTTTGACTCATAGCGCGATCTCCATGTTTCACGGAGGAAGACTGTATGCTAATTATGCCTTGTTATGAGGAGTTTAAATCAACGCTGTAAAGAAAGTCCAATACCACTGCAGCCAACAAAAGCAGGCAGGCTTGTTGGCAACGTATTGACGACGGAGAAAATGCATACGTACATTTTCACGGTCATAAAACGTGGTCTAAAATATCTCACGACCGAGTATTAGACAATGAAGTGTTTTCTGAAAAGAATTGAAATACTGTTAATAATTACAGAGGCTAACAGATGCGACACAATTCAGAAGTCACCTATTATATGCTGCTAAGTAATGTAATGCTCCCTGAAGTTCCATTTCTGTAATGTTACTCATAATGTAAACCTTATGTTAACAATAAATGATCCGATTTCAAATGCAATAGTAGTGGAAAGTGTACGTGGCAGCAAGTCAAGATGAAATATAAAAACATCATGTCAAGTGGTAGGGCTGTGTATATTTCTACTCATTATGAAAGATTTGTTGTGTCTAGCCTCCACTTAATAGCATGTTTCTATGTTTTACAGCTAATAAAATGGTGTCTGTTCATATGACACTTAATAGAAGGTGAGCCACTGTTTAACAAACAATTAAATGATTTACAACAGGACAAAACAGAAGCATATGTGTAGTGAGAAAACGACTAGGAACCTGTCAACCTGGGAGGGGGGAGGGATTAATAATAGTTCTGACCCTGGGGGTAGGTACTGTACTTCCTCAGACCCCTCTGTAGCATATAGCTAAACCGTTCAGGGACACTTTAGCGTAGAGGGAGCTGCTGATTTGCCACTGCAAAAATATTTACCATACATGTTATATGCTACATGTTTTTGGTTTTGGGGATCATGGTCCCCGGTAGCTGTCATTGCACGGAAGCTGTGCTGTGCTGCTGCTGTCCTGTACTTGGGGTTTCCTACGCGTCCCCTTTTGTGGTCTTGCCCTTTTTATGTTCCCTGGTTCTTGGTCTGGGATCTCCAGTCCTCTGCGTTTGAGTCTGTCTTCTGTTTTCTCCTCGTTCTGGAGGCAGTCCATCCAGTCAGCAGGCCAAGTGCCTCTGATTTCTTGTTTGCAGCTGGTATGATGAGGTGTTCTGTCCTAGACCTTGTTTATGAAGGCCAACAAAAGGTGTTTAACTGGTAAAGCAGCACAGACATGACCAGTGTTGGGGGGGGTGGTCACAGCATGAGCACAACCAGCATTAGGGGGGGTCACAGCACAGTCAGTGTGGGGCAGGGGGTGGCAGCACAGCCTATGGTGGGGGGGGGGGTCACAGTATGGACACAGCCATTATCAGCTGCTCTTGGAGCAACAGCCGTTAATTTAAAGATCTTGTTCAAGGATGGCATCACTTTGCTGGCCAGGGGATTTGAACTAGCGACCTTCTGAGTCCTAACACACGGTCACACACTCCCCCATATGTATTTGTCCAATGTCATAAAATTTGTTTTAAGTACTGTTATGATGTTACACTGTCATGCAAAGAACCCATCTGACTTTTGACTACTGGTTATATAGGCTTAAAATAGTTGAAATAGTTACAATTCAAGAATGTAAAAAAAAATTCTGGTAATGCTTGGAACAGGCATGTATGAGCCAACATATAAAACATCCCA